TTTTGTAGTGTGGTCCCAACATCTTGCCACGGGGCTCTGTGGTCCCGTGGCAGGCGCCGCTGCCCCCAGCACAGTTGTGGCTGGCGATTTTCCGTGAGGTCGAGTTGCTCGGTCTCCACTTCTCCTGGGGCTGATTGGTGGCTGTTTTGTTTGAATGACTTTGCTGCATCCTGGCCTGGTCCCCTTGGCTTCCCCTGAGCTCCTTGGTCTGTGGGCAGGTGATTGTGGATTGAGGTTTGCACGATTCTCCTTATGCTTTCATCCTCTCTTGTGAGTCACTTGGTTTCTGTCTCTCTTTGTCAGGTGAGCTTGTGCTCTGTAGATGCTCAGTCTTCAAAAAGCAGCTCACAATTTTATCATTCTGTCTTGTGATTTTTTTTTTTGATGAGGCAATTGGAATCAAGTGACTTTGCCCAGGATCACACAGCTAGTAAGTGTCAAGTACCCGAGGCCAGATTTGAACTCAGGTCCTCCTGACTCCAAGGCCGGAGCTCTATCTACTGTGCCCCCTAGTTGCCCCCTCTATCTTGTGATTTTTTTTTTCCAGCCAAAGTCAAGGTTTATTAGAACATCCGTCATCTTGGGCAGACTCTTAAAGAGTCTGAATGTTAGTGAGCTATTGGCTAGATTGTAAAAATCTGAGCAGCAGCTAGATTTTGAGAATCCAAGCTGTCTTGTGATTTCCAAGGTACTTGATTTCTCCTCCAGTTTTCTTCTTTTGTGCTTATCTTAACGGGAGTTTTCAGTCTTTTTAATTGTGTGTCCATTTATTGGCCCTCTTTGCTCCCCATTTTGCTGACAGATTTTTTGGGAATAGAAGTTTTCCTGTGAGCATGGCATGTGCCGGGGCCCGTGAGTCTGGGGGAGCCGCCTCGTCAGCCTCTCTCTAATGTGATTTGTTCTAGGACTGCTCTTTAGTCAGATATCGTTGCTGATCTCCATTGGCTCTGCACCTGTTGCCTCTTTCACCTTTCTTTGCTCATGTTTGATTGCATTATGATTGGTGGGGTGATGCGTTTGCAGAATGGCGAGCCACCGTCAGAGCCAAGGAGGCCAGGTGACGGTCGTGCCTCTGACTCAGGCTGGCCATGAGACCCTGCTCAGAGCCATCACCTCTCGGGGCTCGCGGGCGCCTCTGAGACCAGAAGTGGCATGGCGGGTGGTGCTCTGCGTGGGATAAGAGGGAGTTTCCTCAACAGTGGCATCTTAGGTGCACACACACACACATTGTGAGACATGAGAGATGGGAGACATGGGCACACGACCGCCCACCACGGCTCTGTGAGCAAAGCAGAATATGAGCAAAGCAGCTCAAAAGAACCATGAGAGGCCCAGACTCAGAGCCAGCTCCACTCCAGATGTTCCCGGGGACTGTTTGGGCCCGACCTGGGGTAGAGCCGCCAAGGCTTAAATTGGTCTGATCAGCCACAGTGGGTCGCCCTGGACCTTGACCCAGACATGGCGATATCACTTTGGTCCTCTTTGAGCTCCAAGGACTGGAGCAAACACAAAACAGATCCAAAGGTCTGGTGAGGGTCCCTACCCAAAAGGGGGATGGATATCACTCATGAAGCAGAATAAAGAAGACAAAGCTGGGAAGGTGGCCAGACCAGACCAAACAATGATGGGCAGACCAGTGCCGGGGGCAGCGTGATTGGGAGGTTGTCGAGGGACCCGTGTGTGAGGCCCCTGAAGGGAGGAGACCACGCCCAAGATAGGGGAAGAAAAAAATCCGGGACCTCATTAATAACCCACATTGTCATGGGCCTGAGAAAACTCCTAACTACTGACCTGTACACCTTCTCTCCCATATTTCCAACATCTTTATGAGGGTCATCCATAGTCAGTCTGAGTGTACCCTTGATGATGGCACTTGGAGGGAGCAAGCAGGATTTCACACTCTTTGTCCAACAATGACCACATCTTCTGCCATCTCATAGTCATTTGAAGGATGTACAGAATATCTGGCCTTATTGTTTGTTGATGAAGGCACATTTGATTTGTTGGAACAAAATGCAGCCTTTATAGACTTTTTAGAGCAAAGCATCCTGCATCCATGTATCATTCAGGATTCCATGAAAGATGTGACCACAGAAATAAGTCTGTTCAGTGACCCTCTGGTCATAAGTGTCACGCAGGGCTACAGCAGGGAAGCGTGGAGGAGACCAGGGCAGTCTGGGTTAAGGAGGGATTCCCCGGGGGTGGGGAAGGTTGCTCCTCAGGGGTGCCACCTACAGCAAGCCTCCAGACAGCACAGGGTGTAGCGGAAGAAAACAGGTCTGGCTGTCCGTCAACCGGGGAAGACCCTGCAGATGAGTGATTTCTGTTGCCCAGATTTCAGTGTGCATCTAAGAGACACTCCTAAGAATGAGCTGAGCCCAGAATTGAAGAGGAGAAGGAAAGTCATATAGAGGTCTGTTGGAAATGGCCAAGTTCCCTCAATAACCCCTGACTTTCCGTGAAAGGACTCAGCAGAGAAGACCTTTAAGTAACAGGAACTCCTTGGGCATTTTAAATGTGATTTGATCTGGAAGCTGTGTTTACACCTAGCATTTTGGGAACAATATCTGCTTTATGAAATCAGGACCACCTACCTTGTCACCAAATAAGGAGACCTGAACCAGTGCTCTGAAGGGTGACTCTTGACAAGAAAGTGCTGACAACTGACCCATTCAGTTAGACTAGAAAGAGAACCTTGATTACAGTCCCCTGGCTCTCTGCTGGTAGGCAGGAAGCACCCTGCGCCTCTTGGGTCCGGCTCACACACCCTTGCCACAGACATTTCCTGGGGGTTGAGATCTTTGGTTGCTTTTCAGGGCCCATCCATGGTAGACAGAAGGGACCTGGCTTTGTGCAGCCCACAGTTTGGCTTGAGAAATGCCAGTTCTTCTCCTTTTTAAGTCTTCCCTGTAAAACTCAGCCCCGTGGAGCCCTGGCTGGAGAAAGTGACCATGAGGCCAGTCTTGATTTTCTTCTGGGCTTTACCTTCTTGTTCTAGCAGGGAAGGTGGATTTTGTTTTCGAAGTGCATATTATTAGGAATAGACGGGCAAAGCAAACTGTGTGTGTGCAGAGCTGGGGGGCCCTCGGAGGACGGAGGAGACCCTTCTGTTATTCATTCGAGAAATCCATCACAGAGGGGGTCATTGAACCCACTTGCCCCAGTAGGGGTTCAGTGCTGGCCAAATATTTAATTGCCTTCCAGTGGGCCTGGGCCTGAGGCCAGGACACCCTTGGGCAGCAGGAAAGGACCAGTCTCTCTGCCATACTCAGTGTAACAGCAGGCCTGCATTCACCTTGGGTCAGGTTTTCTTCCACGCAGTCTTTGGGCATGTGTGTGGCTTGTCTGTCTATACCCACCTCTCCCCAAGAGGAAGAGTGTTGTAGCTGCAGCTCTGGGCACTGGTGTCGCTGTAAGGGTAGACACCCACTCTCATTCCCCCTCTGGAGCAGGGTGCCTGGGTCACAAGGAGCAGCCCTCATCACTTAATTCCCTGGCAGCATCTTCTGCTGGATGAACTGAGATGCCTAGGAAATGGGCAGCAGCCTGAGCTTCTGCTTTTGACAAATCAGCAACTGTTCACTCTCTCCCTGGTGTTTCATAAATAATGCAGGAGGCATTGAGGCAGAACACAACCAGCTAGGGTGGGCTGGGGGTGGGCTCTCTGTGCTGCGCCCGAAAGACAAGATGGGGCTCAGTCAGCCCCTTGTGGAGGATGCAGGGCCTCCGGGCCGGCCCCTAGGGCTCCATATCACTGTCCCTGGCAGAACCCCTGGGCCCCCAGCCCCCCAGGGCTCCTCCTGTGCAGCCTCTGGGCCTCAGGGAGACTGCCCAAGTGAAGGGCGTTTCTGGATTGCAGAGGGTGGTTCCCTAGTCCTTGTGAGCTCACCAGAGCTCCCACGTGTAGCTCCCAGAACACAGGCCTCAGAGCCTTGAGGCCCATCATGCTGCACCATGCAGAGGGCTGCATGGCTGGCTCCCTCAGCAGCTCTAGTTGAGAGGCCTGTGCAGGGGATCGGTATGGCTGGTGCCTGGGCTGCATGTCGGGCTCGTTGAGGGGAGAGCTGACCTCGATGTGGGCTCACGGGGCCTTTGGTGGGGGCGGGGGGCAGTTCTGCTCGGTACTCACAGATGGATGTTTGGGGAGCTGCTCTGTCCATCCAGCCATCTGTGCATCCGTGGTCCTGGAGGTCAGAGGAATATGCCTGCCGGTCACTCATACGTCCGTCTGTAGAACTGCCGCCGGTGCGGGCCCTGCCAATCAGGCTGTCTCCTCCATTCTGTCCTGTGGGGGAGAGGTTTAGGCCTCTTCGCAGCCACCTTCCTTGCCAGGCCAGCCGGGCCTTCTGTGGCACTTCGGCCTCCATCCCTCCTGTATCAGTCGGCCTCCAGTTAAAATGGTCTCTTCAGGATTTCAGAATCCAGACGTGTGACCCTAGGTCAAAGTGTAGTTGGGAAGTTTCACAAAATAAGTCATGAGACGGCAGCACACAGATGATGTGAATAGGAGGGTTTTCTAAGTCAATCTGGGGCCTGTGGGGGTCCTGAGGGATGGCTCGATGCCCCTTCTCCTTTGAGGCTGACCCCCCCATCTTGGGGGGCGCCGGGGAGGGTCTTACCAGAGCGCCAGCAGCGGCCCCGGTATCGATGGTGGCTGGGTGTGGCCAACCCATGGACGTGTCTGGGCTGCCCAGGAGTGAGTGAGTTTATGGGCTGGGGGATTGGGGGGCTTCTTGTGAGAGGTGCATAGCCACGTCCCCTGTGAGAATGTGGGGCGGAAGCCCCAGACAGATCCGTCTGAGGAAGGAGCCGAGGCAGGAAGGACAGCTAGCTGCGGCCGCGGCCACGGCCACCGCCGCGATCTTTCCTGGTTCCCTTAAGCTCACGGCCGCCGCTTTGATGCATCAGGGCCCTGTGAATGTTGATTTCTGGTTGGTTTTAAAGACGCAGCTGAAGAGGTGCCTGCTTCCTAATTCGTTTCTGTTGGTTTTCCTCCCCAGGCGCTGGGAAGCTTCTATTTCCTTCATGAATCCTTAAAGAACATCTACCAGTTTGACTTTAAAGGTAAGTCTAGTGTCCGCTCTCCCTGGGTCAGGGGTCCCTGTGACACGTGGGGCCTACTCTTGGGGCTGCAGTGAGGCCCAGGGCCCCCCGGGGCCACTGGGGTGCGATGGATGACCACGGGGCAGCCGAATCCCTCGCGGGCAGCATCCCAGCCTGCTGGGATCGCCAGCCTTGGAGCGAGGAGGTGGCCCTGGGACCTTGGTGGGGTGGTGGGGTGGCGGTCAGCCAGCAATTACTAAGTGCAGGTCACTGTGCTGCGTACCTGGGGTGCACACAAAGGGTCGAGGGCATCCTGGTTTGCAGGCTGGGGCGAGGTGGGGGAACAGCAAGAGCCACCCTGGGAAATGAGTAATGACGTCCATAATCTTAATGATGTAATAGCCAGCGTCTGTGTAAACAGAAGATGCTGGTCAGTCCCACTCATAGCAGACAGAAGCATAGAAAAACCGCGTACGTGTGGATGTGTGCACATTGATGGGTATGTGTCTGCATTTGTTTGTGTAAGTTGTGGGTATGGATTGTACTTGTGGACGTTGTGTGTGATACGTACACACACAGAGCCTCTCGGCCATCCATCCGGCCCTCTCAATTGAAGACCTCCCAGAGTGCTGGACAGCGCAGAGGCTTTGGGTCCACAGTGAGGGAGAGACAGAGACCAAAACAGAGAATGTGTGCGTGCGTGTTTGTGACTGTGTGTGACTGTGTGAGTGTGCCTGTGTATGGGTGTGTTTGTGTGTGTGTGTGTGTGTGACTGTGTGAGTGTGTCTGTATGTGTGAGTGCATTTCTGTGTGAGAGTGTGGCTGCATAGGGGTGTGTCTGTGTGGGTGTGACTGTGTGGCTTTATGTGAATGTGAGTGTGGCTGTGTGGGTAAGTGTGACTGTGTATGGGTGTGTTTGTGTATGTAAGTGTGGCTGTGTAGGAGTATGACTGTGTGGGTGTGACTGTGAGTGTGGCTGTAGGGGTAAGTGTAACTGTGTGAATGTGACCATTGCTTCACATCCAAGAGGGTCCAGAGCTGGGCCTTGGAAGCGAGGTGGGCCTGGCAGCTCTGCTGGCTGAGGAACGCCTGGGGGCAGGGAGGAGGAGTATTCTGCTGGCTGGCTTGGGTTAGGGTTGGGAGTCAAGGTGGCACATTTGCGTAGGGTCCGATGTGGGGCTTCCCCATCAGGGGAATGATCCCAGTCAGTGCTGCCTCGGGGAGGTGGTCTCAGCACTAGTGTCAGGTGTGAGTTGTTGGTAGAATGGGGTAGAACAGCCTTCTGATTGGCAGAAATCATCTGGGAGGCCCCTTGGTGGGCCCACCGTCTTGGGTGGGCCGCTGTGGCCCCTGGGGCCTCGGAGCCTCTGGACAGATAGGATGTCTCCTTTCTCCTGAGCTTGGCTCTTGGGCTGGTGCTGTCCGTCAGTCTCACTGGGGCGAGGGTGTGAGATACTGGTGCGGCTCAGACCCATCGGTCCACAGGGACTTCGCCTGACAGAGATGCGGACTTTACAAAGACGCGTTGACTGCCCGTGGGAAGTGGTGGCTGTGACTGACCGGATGTGAAGGTCCAGAAGGCCGCACTGCCCTCAGATGGTCTCCATCCACCCTGCGTGCGCTCTAGCCAAGCCCGGACCCCTCCTCAGGCCCACTGAGATCAGCAGAAGGGATTGCCCGTGGCCCACGGTGTTGGTGCAAGAGGAGTGTCGTGGCCAATGGGACACAGGTCTTGTCTTGCCTCTCAAAGGACAGAGCCGGGCTCCTTGGCACGGCGACTCCATCCCCAGAGGGGCAGCTGGGTGTGTATGGGTTGGACCCTTTACCTCTGGCTCTGCCTCCTCATCCCTGGGAGGCGTCCCTCTGTGCTCCCCGACTCAGTTGGCAGGCCCATCGCAGACAAGATGGTCATGCAGAAGGGTCCTGGGAAGAGGCAGAATGAAAAAGCCTCAGTATTGGGGGGGATAAGGGGGAAGTGGAAATAAGGCAGCGATAGCTTTTCTCCACCTCATTCTTTCCACATGCATTTATTAAGCCCCTGCTGCATACCAGGTACCACAGTGGGTGCATGGCCTGCCCTAAAAGGACTTCCAGCTTTTTAGCAGAGATGCCCTGTGTGTGTGTGAAGACGTCAACACAACCCAGTGTTCTGGAGGGAACAGATATTTCGGACACAGCCTGGGAGGGAATTGGCACTGCCCAGTTCTGCAGATTTGTTACAAGCATTTTCTTTTTTCTTTTGTTTTTCCAAATGTTTTGGGGTGGGAGAGAATTAAACGCTTGTTTGTTTTGTCAAAATAAAATAAACGAAGGAAGCTCGGGCTTTGAAGAGGTCGGGGTGAAGAAGGAAGCCCAGCTGAGGGCAGGCGGAGCGCTCAGCCCATCTGCCTTAGTTTCCTCTTCTCTGAAATGGGGGTGAAGATAGCCCCTAGTTCCCAGCGTTGTCGTGAGGAGCCAGTGGGGTGAGAATGTGAAGAGCACAGTGCCTGGCACCTAGCAAACGCTCTATGCGCCTTGAGTTCTCAGATCTGGGAGGCAACCTCGTGGGTAGGGGCGCAGGGCGAAGCAGGAAGCATCTGAACCACTGCCTTCTGGAAAGGAAGAAGGGTGAGAAGCAGTAGAGCTCAGAGCCGGCTTCACCAGACTCGAAACCGGAAGGCAACTTTGCCTGTCAAGCTCTGGACAGCTTACATCACATCCCGCGGTCACCTCCGTGGGCTCATGGGACCTGAGTGGGAAAGGTGCCGTTTGCCGCTGTTCGTCTTTAGATCCCAAAGAAGACCGTGACGTGAGGGAGGGAGTCTGGGACTTGCGGGGAGTCAGATTTAGGTGAGGGGCCACTCGAAAGAAGGAGGAGGAAGAGGAAGAGGGATGACTTTCACACCGGCTTCTCGGCCAGTCACAGACATTACAATAAAGCATTTAGTGACGCGGGACTGAAAACCTCTAAGAAAACAGGTGAGGGGGGCAGTGGACAGAGCACCAACCCTGGAGGCAGGAGGGCCTGAGTTCAAATCCAGCCTCAGACACATAGTACTCACTAGCTGTGTGACCCTGGGCAAGTCACTTAACCCTGATTGCCTCACCAAAAAAAAAAAAAAAAAGCAGGTGAGAGGATAAAGGTGAAAAGTTCTTTGCATCAAATGTTCCCCATAAGGACGAGGCTCGGGATACATCGGTAACTGGCGCTTACGCACAAGACCAGGAGCCATTCCCCGACGAATAAGCGGTCAGAGAAGAGTTGTAAACTACTAGTCACCGTACGAAGCCTGTGCTGAGAGTCGCGTGCATCCAAGCAGCTCTGAAGGTATGCCTCTCACCCGGCGCACTGGCAAAGAGGAGGTGAGATGGAAACGATTTGTGTGGAGCTGCCCCAGAGAGGTGGGATGTGACTGTGCCATTGATGGAGCTGCACAGGGTCCCAACTTTCAGGAGAGTGACTTGGAATTAGGGGGGCCCTGGGACCCAGACCATCGCCAGGCACGTGCTCCGAGGGTGCCGATGACGCCCAGAAAGGTCCCGTGGCCACCGGAATGTTCGTGGCCGCACTTTGGGCAAGCGTAGAGCTGGGAGGAGTGGGGATGCCCGGCCCCTGGGAAGTAGCACTTACATAAGGTGAACCAGGTGGGACTGTAGGAATGACAAATGGGGAAAATCAGGGGATGCAAAATGAGGTAAGGAGGCCCAAGGACGGGCGACCGTGGAAATGCAGAGATGAGAAGGTGAAGCAGAAATCTCCATAATGACTGTGTCTGGCCCACGAGCAGCAGCCACCCAGTAAGGGGGCTCTGGGTACAGAATGTGGTGCATGCCCTCTCCCCTTTCTCCCACCCTCTCTGTCTCTCTTTCTGTGTCTCTGTCTGTCTCTCTGCTCTGTCTTTGCCTCCCTCTCCCCCTCTCTCTGTCTCTCTGTGCCTTTGTGTGTCTCTCTCTGTCTGTCTCTGTCTGCCTCTCTCTCTCTCTCTTCTCTGTCTTTGTCTTCCTCTCCCCCATCTTCCCACTCTCTCTATTTCTCTTTGTCTCTGTCTCATTCAATAGTCAGGCATGAAGAAGATGGCATAAAAATTGAAGATATAAAAACTAGATTTGTTCCGAAAAAGCCGCTGCCTGTGCTGGTGGCCCGGCCCTCGTGCATCTCCCATCTGTGCACAGCTGGTTAGCTTCTCAGTTTGCCCACAACAGGCCCCTTCATTTGGCGTGAACCTGAACGTGGAAGCTTCCCGTCCCAGGTCCTGAGGGCTGGGGGAACAAGGAGCAGAGGAGAAGGAAAGTGTGACCTTCCACTTTCCCAGGACACAGTCAGACAGAAGTGGGATTTCCACAGGGAGAGAGTCTGGACTTGGATGTGCTCTTGTGACATTGAATTTTTGAGCCCAAGTGCAAGACTTTACAATTTACCCCTGTGAAGTCTCCTCTTATTTTATTCAGGCCAATGCTCTGAGAACCTGTCAAGACCTTTCTTTCTTTCTAACCTTAATTCAGCTTTTCACAGCATTTTCTCTTCTCTGTTTGGATGTTTCATGAAGGAAGCGGCAGCAATGAGGGTGGGGGCAGGTGAATGGGGGACGTGTGTGTGAGGGTGTGCACGTGTGTTTGTGTGACAGTGTGTGTGTAGGGGGTTGGGGTGTGTGTGTGTGTTGTGAGAGTGTGTGAGTATGAAGGGGTATATATGTGTGTGGGTATATGTGTGTGAGGGTCTGTGCATGTGTGTGTGTGTGTGTGTGTGTGTGTGTGTGTTTTAAAGCTGGCTGTTTGTAGGTAAGGAGCTGATTCTCTTAGGCAGCTGCTAGGTGGCACCATAGTTCCCAGAACATGGGCCAGGAGTCAGGAAGACCTGAGTTCAAATCTGGCTTGAGACACTTAGTAGCTGTGTGCCTATGAGCAAATCATTTAACCTGTTTCTCTCAGTTTTTCTGTCTGCAGAATGGGGATAATTAGAGCCCTTAGCTCCAAGGGCTGTTGTAAGGCCACATAAGATGACAAGATAATCACAGTAAAGCACTTAGCGTGTGCCTGGCACCTAGTAGGTTCACTGTGAATGTTAGCATCGTCATCATCATCATCATCATCATCATCATGTTGCTTGCACTGGGTTGCAAAGATGCAGCTTCTCACTCACTAGTGTTCTTTCTTCTTTTCTTAGCAAAGAAATATAAAAAAGTCACCGGCAAAGAAATCTACTCAGACACATTAGAGAGCACGCCCATGCTGGAGAAGGAAAAATTTCCCCAGGAGTATTTCCCAGAGGTGGGTGAAGGCAAAGTGTGTGGGCAGGGGGCTCCCTGAGGCCCATCCGCGTGGGGATCTCCACTGACTGGGAGCCAGGGATGACCGTCACCCTGCCTCGTCGCGGCTGAGCTGCCCTCGCACTCGGGACACCCAGATTCATTCTGGTGGGACCGAGTGGCGGCTCTCCCAACCCCATTTCTGTTGTTCGCTGCTAGTGCGGGTGGCCCGCACTGATTAAGCTGTGTACCCTGTGCCCAGTAATAACAGCCTCAGTCAAGTCACTATGTCACCAGCAAGTGTAGACAGGGTCGGGGAGGGGCGGAGGGTGAAGGGAACAGTGCTGCCTGGGAAGGTGGGTTTGAACGGAATCTTGAACTCAAGAAGGCAGGGGATGGAGGAGGGAAAGAGAGACAAAGGTGTGGCGATGGGAGGTGGCAGGTCCTGGGGGAGGGCCAGGCAGGAGGCTGGTGGGGCAGGGTCCCAGAGGAGGCAGATGGGAGGGAAGTGGGATTTTCTAGTTGGTCTGGGAGGCCCTAGGGACCGCTGGGGTTTGCTGGGGCAGGGGGAGTCATGGCCTGGAGAGGAGAACCGGGAGGCAGGGAGCCCACAGCAGCTGCTGCCGGACTCCAGGCCTGAGGGGGTGATGGTCCACACCACGGGGGCGCTTGTGACGCAGAGGAGGTAGGAGGCAGATGGTAGAAGAGCAAGGACTGACGGCTGATTGGACAGGAGCGCTGGGTTAAGGATGGCACTGCAGATGAAAACCTGGCAGATGGAGAGGATGGTGGCGCCCTGGAGGGTGTGCAGGGAACGGTGGGGGCAGATGAGTCTGGCTCTGGACAGGACCCAGCTCAGCATGTCCGAGGGGCGTTGGGGTCAGGAGGCGTCTTCATGTAATTGACGCAGAGGTTCAAATTCCGTCAGTCACAAACTAGCCACAAGACCAGGGACAGTCCACCGCCCTCCCAGGGCCTGTGAGCCCACAGCATTCATAGAGCATCACTCCCGTAGAGCTCTCCCCTCCGCCACGTCATGGATCAGAAAATTGAAGCCCAGAGATGAGGAACGGGCCTTGAGTGCAGAATCAGGATCTGAACTGGGGGTTCCTGGCTCTGAGTCCTGTGCCTTGCTGCCTTTCTTCAAGGAGAGAGTCTGGTAAAGCCCAGACCCCAAATCTGGCTAGCAAGATGGCAGCCACTTCAAAGTCAGCCAACTCTGTAGACCATGGGTAGGTCAACTCGGGGTGAAAAGAGGATGAAGATGAAAGAGTGTGGGAACATGAACATCGAAGGCCTGGCTTTGGTGCAGACTGTCGCCTTTGACCAGGCAAGTGGAGCTGATGGAAGCCTGATGAAGTGGCCACCGCCCAAGCATGCGGTCACCAAGGAATGCGCCATCTCAGAAAACGACGTCATAAGGAATCACCTCGTCAGGGAGAAATAGTGGAAGATGAGGGGTCACCCATGGACACTGAAGGGGCAGAACTTCTCAATCCCTGCTCCAGGACGGTTGAGCCGCCATCTTTGGGGCCTCTCACTGCAGTCCTGGGGAAGGCTGCTGGTCACTGTTGAGAGTGTGCTAGGTGGCATCAGTGGCACAGAAGTGCCACGTCCCCAGAGGTCTCTCCCCGAGTGTGGAGGGCATCCTGAAGGGTTGGGGAGCTCAGCAGATGGATGCCTGTGACCCCGCAGGGCCGTCCTCTTCCCTGGGCCGGGTTTGGAGGAGGGGCTGCAGGCTTTTCCCATAACCCTCTGCTTCCCCTCGCCCCCCCTCTCACCTGAGCACCTCCAGGGTGGTTTCCCTCTCATCCGCTGCCAGAATCACAAGTCGTTGGTGAGACGGACGTCACCCTTCTCCCAAGACACAGAGGCCCCCGCATCCTCTGGCCTGAGGCAGCGCTCGGTCCTCCTGCCTCTGATTGGTCCATCCTGCCAGTCTTGACTGGATGCTGATGACACTGGACCACTTGGGATGAGGCATTTTCTGAGCATCAGAGCGGGTCCTTCTGAGCTGTGGCCGGGCCACGTGTGCTGCTGTCACCTGTCTGCCCCCTGGGGCCCACTGCTCAGGCCACAGCCAGTCATGATGCATCATTTCCCTGTAAAAAGGGGGCAGGTGATCGGAGCGGGGGCATCATGCACCTGAGCCCGGAGCCTCTTCGCCCACAGACTGCGGCACGTCCTGGGCCTTGGATGATGCAGACAGGAGGCTTGTGCATCTCCAGGGCCAGGCTGGGGGTCGTCCTGGGCCTGGGGACACCCTTACTGCTTGGGAGACTGTTCATGGAACTTGCCCCGCTGCAGAACACTGCCTGCCGGGGCTGGGGGGCCAGCCGCCTGGGTTCCCTGCATTGGCCCTGAGGCGATGTCCTTCAGCCCGGCGGGTGGCAGATTGATGAGAATGATTTCGTTAAGCCTGGACAGATTCCTCCATAGTTTTGCCTTCACGTGCTTCAAGGGCTCTGAGAGCCAGCCCCAGTGTGTGCTGATGCACACACCTTTCTTCCTGCCCACTCATCTCAAAAAGAAAGCGGTTTATTTGAGCCACTGTTTTCCTTACAAAGTAGCTCAGGAACATTATCTCCAAACTCTCCCCTCCTTACTTCTCTCTCAGAGAGCCCCCTCCTCCGTCAGGCCCCCACCCACCCTGCCCGATGCCCTTACAGGGAAGGAGGCCCGTCTCCTTATCTATGGCCTTTGAACGTTGACCCCGCCTTTGTCCTGTGCCTGGCTAGTAGCAGGGGCTTCATCTGCCCTGAGCCTGGGCGACATCCCGCCAGTGTGGCTCCTGTGCTTGGGGCCTCGCTCCAGCGCCTCCACAGCATCCACTCCCGTCTCTGGGCCTTCGGAAGGACGTGAGATCGAGGGCTGCGCCACTGAGACTTCCAAGGGTCTGCTTCTCATGGTCTCCTGCCAAGCCTTCCGCACAGTTGTCCTGTTTTGGGGGCGAGAATTGGGCTCTGGCTGATTTCTTATTCTTTTATTACCGCTGCTTAAGGATGATCTAAAAGTAATTACCATGATGGAAGCACAACGCCACTCCCCATAATTACTGCCGCAGCGTATAAAACGAACACAAGTCCCACAGCTGATTTACGGTGGCTCCTGGCGGCCGGCGCCCCAACGACGCCGTGGGGAGCAACACTCCAGAGAATGGGAGGCTGGCTTAAGAAAGCCGAGCCGTGCCGTCCATCAGGGACAGTCATTTTTTTCCCTTGCCCGTAGTGAGAAATTGGTTGTCCTCATAGATCATGGCTCCCGCTCCCGGCTCTTGTGAAAGATGAATTAATTCCACTAATGCTTTAATGCAAACCCTTCACGGAGGAGGCCGGGTGGTGGTTCCCCTCCTCACAGCTCTCCTTTCTCGACGGTGATTTATGGGCTCTTTTAGTAGATGAAGCTGCCTGTGTTTCCATCCATCTGAGGGCCAAAGGAATCCTATTAAGCAGAGCCATCGGTGGGGGAGGTGAAGGATGTCACGGCCCTGCCTGAGGGCCCCCCAAGGCCAGGCTGGGAGATCGGGAAGCATCCTCCTGAAGGTATTGCCCTGAACCGGGGCCTCTTCACCCATCTCTGCTTGTTGACCCGGCCACCAAGGGACGGGCAGGTCCGTCAGACGGCCGCGCCCGGGAGCAGATCAGAGCAGCCCGAGCCAGGTGGAGAGGGCTGCTATACCCCCCGCTTTAGGGGTGACCACCTCTTTCAGGATGGGGTCATGGCCTGGCCTTGCTGGCCATGCTGTCGGGCACTGATGATCTTGTGCCAGTCCTAGGGCTGTGTAGTGTGATCATAGACGCAGGCAGTGCACTGCCATCTGCCAGCTCAGAGATGGGGGCAGTCAGCTGATGCTGCAGGAAGGGGTCTGCTGCAGGCCCTCCCCCTTGAAGCACAATCTGCTGCCCCCCTGAACATCGGTCTGTGGTCACAGAGGTTGGCGGGAAGCTGCTGCTGTGGCCTTGCCTCTGTCAGCCTCCACGTGCCGTCCATAAGGGGATGTCCCCAAGGCCCAGAGGATGGAGGGCTTGGCAGAAGCCACTCGGAGAGTCAGACAGACCACTTTGTTGCTTGCTAGCAGGATGCGGTTTCCTCCTCATTGCGGGACGTCGCTGGCTTGAACCCGGGCTCTCCTTCTTGGGAGTCACCGGCTTCCATGGAAGCAGCCTTCCTTCTCTTCTTCGTCCTCCCCCTCCTTGTGGACTGGAGGGACAGGTGTATGCAGGGGAAGGGCCATTCTGGGTACACGTGTGTGGATGAGGGTCGTCTGGCAGTAAGCGAGCCCGTGGGGGAGCGAGCCAGCCGCTAAGGAGGCGTACAGGCAGTTTGAGTGCCGTCAGCCTGGCCTGGGATGCTTCGTGGGGCGAGGACAGAGCAGCTGCCCCTGCCGAGCCGCCCCTGGGGCTGAGGCCAGGCCAGACTTCCTCAAGTCCACCCCTCGGAGCCAGCCCTGCACGTGGACCAGTCAGTATTTTCTGCAGGTCTGTTTGATCTCTCATCAGACGGTCATGAAACGTGTAAAAGTCTGGACTTTTGGCATGAGAGATGCTCCGGCTTGGGCCGCTAAAGAGTGACTGTGTGAGGCCTAGGCCCACGGCCTTGTGGATCAGGCCTGGGAAGGCCAGAGTAGGGGGCTGGAATTCCAGGGAGTTAACCCTCGTGTGCCGTGCGTGCTCACAAGTACGTGCATAGTGCCTGCTCCATCCAGCCATGTTCCCTCGGGGTCAGGGCCCCAGTGGGAGTGGAGGACACCCCATGGACTCCAACTCTCTTGACAGGTTCTGAAGAGCTGCGGAGGCTTCCGGAGCATCCTGATTGGGCTCTGTGTACCTAATATCAGTACAAGGCCTTTGCGGCAGCATCGACAGATGCCTGTCCCCCTGCTGGCCCGAGTGCAAGGACGCTGTCTGGGACACTCATCCCCTTGCTGGCCCAAGTGCGAGGATGATGTTTTGGTCTAGAACCTCTCTCAAAGAAAGGCTAAGCCTGTCCAGTGGAGCCCAAACTCATGGAACCACCAGTCCCTCAAACACTGAGTTGTGAGATGTTTTGTGTATCTTTCCTATGTCTGCCAGGAGTCCACACCTGGCCGTCCGCCATCTTGTAGGCATTGTGTCAGAGGCTCGAGGGCCTGGCATGGAGTCAGGAAGCCCTGGGCTCATGTCCCATCTCTGACAGACCAGCCACGTGGCTCAGGGCCCTAAGAAGCGGCCTCACAGGGCAGAGGTTGACCTTCCTCAGTGGGCGCTCTGGACACAGATGGCCTCAGAGGGCAAATACCCTACTGTCACCAAAGAGAAGCCTCCCTGACCGCTGGTCCATCTGCTCTTGCTGAGGATAGAGCTTCCTCTTCCAGGGAAGGGCAGCGCAGCCGAGGGCTTCTCCTCTATGCCGCCGGTTGTGTTTTTGGTACAGCAGCCCGAGTGAGCGCACTTCACGAAAGGCTGACGAAGGGAAGATCCTCCTGGCCTGTCCTGGTGGTGGCCCCTCCGTCCTTTGGTGGGTGTCCAAGAGTGGCTAAGGCAGCCTCTTGCTTGGATGCAGGCTGGCCTCTCGTCCACCTTTGGCTCTTTCAACACCAGGGTAGCTGTTTCGAAGACGTTCTCCAGGGGATCATCTCCCCTCTGGGACATCCGGGGCTCGGTCCTATGGCATCCCAGAGGGGCAGAGGTCGGGGTGAAGTGAGGGAGGCAGGGGGTTGCAGAGAGCCTGGGCCTTCCGTGGGGGTGGTGGGCCAGGGCTCTGTCCTGGAGGGTCTTTAATCTTGTTCACAAAGGTTGTGGAAGTCAAGACGTGGTGAGGGCTGAGTTTCTTCGGCAAAGGTCTGGACAGGCCACTTTCCTTCTCTTTGCCTGGTGTCCCGCTACATAAAATGGAGGTGGTTGGAAAGGGGACGGGCCTTTGCCAGCCAACAAGCAGACGGGAGTGTTGCCCACGGCCTCAGCAGGATGTCCAATGGGCCGGACCAGTTTTCTTTCCTTGTAGAGAGATCCATCCGAGGGCATTCCCTTCTTCTTCTGCGGTAGGTGCTGTCTGTGCTGGTCTGCAGCCCAGTGGCGCAGCCCTGGCTGACTGGCTGCTTAATTCACTATGGTGCCTCTCAATAAAATGAGGGTGAAAAGATGAAGTGGGGCTGCGTGCTGGTCACGATCAATCAGAGCCAGTGGGCCTTACGTAGTGCGACCTGTCTGGCCTCTCTCCTCATGGCGATGCTGTCTGGAGGTCTTTTTACCCCCCCCCCGCTGCAGAATATTTATGGAGCTGCTGTTTCTTGAGGGTTTCAAAGGTCGGCGCGCTCTCCCCGGGGACGCTGCACACATCCCAGGTCAGGATGGCAGGTGTCCCCAGGGGATAGAGAGGTCTGAGATTTGTAAGTCATTTCAAAATTAAAAGTTGACAATATTCTACAGGCCCTGTACCGGGGCATTTGATTTTTCTCAGCTGCAATTAAATAAGCGTGGATTTGACGTGTGAGTGTGCAGATGAGCTCAGGAGATAGTAGCTGTGAGTAGCGGCTTGGATCGCAGGCAAGAATGCAGTGGGCCACGAGGGGATTGGGAGCCTGCTTCCTCAGCGGCTCTCTGGGCCCACGACAGGGAGCATGTCTGTTGCCCCGCCCTCCCGCCAAGCAAGCGTCCTGGCATTCCCCCCCCCCACGCCCAGTTCCCCGTCACTGGCAGGTTCAGGTCCAGGGCAGGGGGATGGTGTTGTCAGAATGTCCCCCCATTGCCCGAGGCTGGCCCGCTCCAGCCAACCTTAACGTGTGCTTTCCCCATGGGTTGGGGGCTCTGTAAATTAGGACTCTGACAGCACCCTTTGGATTGGTCTGTGCTAATATCTACCTCAAAGGCCCCACCCCACAGCCTCTCAATGGCTCACCAGAGCACACTGCGTCAATAGGACAGGGATCGGGACAAGGAGAGTGGCTGGGCCTGGGAGCTCCCAGGTGAAGGCACACCCTCCACTGATGCTGGGTAGCACCTTCTACACAGCACACATTGTCTTCCAGAGTGACCTGGGCCACATGGGCAATGTGGACCCAGGGAAGAATCAGAACAAGGGGCTTCCTGGCCCTGCCTGCTGCCCCTCTCTGCCCCCAGTGGCTTCTCAATAGATGGGGTCCTCTCATCTTCCCTCTTCACACATCCGGTTTCTTTTGAGTAAATACGCCCTTGGAGCATTACAATCAGAGTGCATTTATGAAGCGCCTGCTGTGTACAAGGCAGCATGGAGGGGCTAGGGGTGTCAGGTCTCTGACTTCCAGGGGCATCCATCCCCAAGGGGAATGACGCATGTAAATAGAGAAAGATGGCACTGGGGATCTGCTGCTATGTCACAGGACAGCCGGTGGCGCTCTTGGAGTGGGGGCAGCTGTCAGGGCAGAATCCAGTGCTGCGGAAACTGGAGGCTGCCCGTGGCGCAGAGCTGCTGGGGGATGTCTGCAGTTTGGATGGAAGTGCTCTTCTGTCCCTTCCCGCGCCAGCTGACCAAGATGGCACCCCCTGTCTGGGAGCCCCCGAAAGGCGCACTGTCAGGTCTAGAGGGGACTTGGGAGACAGTCTGGTCCTCTGGCCACTGGTGCCCAGAGAGGTGGAGCTCATAGGTAGCAAAGCTAGCATTCGAATCCGGGTCCTCAGGCCTTCCCAACATGTCTCTCCTCCCTCCCTTCCTCTCCTTCTATCCCTTTCTTCCTATACCTGTCTTCCCCTACCTCTCCCTCACACAGCCTCTCTATCTTTCTCTGTCTCTGTCTTTGTCTCTGTCTCTGTCTCTATCTGTCTTTCTCCCCCCCTTCTTATCCCCCTCTATCTTTATCTCCTCTCTCTCCTCCTCCTCCTCCTCCTCTCTCTCACTCTCTCTCTCTCTCTCTCTCTCTCTCTCTCTCTCTCTCTCTCTCTCCCCATATATATATATATAATATATATACACACATCTGTCTCTCCTCCTCTCCCTCTCTCCCTCTTTTCCTGTCGCCCCTGTTTCTCTCTCTCCTCCTCTGCCCCTCTTCCCCTCTCTTCCTATCCTCTCTCTCTCTGTGTCTCTCTCCCTCTCTTCCTATCCCCCTCTATCTCTCTCTCTGCTCCTGTCCCGCTCTTCCCCTCTCTTCCTATCCCCCCCGTCTCTCTCTCCTCCTCTCCCCCTCCCCCTCTCTCTCCCTCTCTTCCTTTTCCTCTCTCTCCCTCTCTCAGTGACTCCATTTGGGCAGAGGGGACCAACAGCCTCTTTCTAGCCCCTGAGAAGGAGGGGTGTGCCCAATCCGGTGGGTGCCGGCACCATCCCCCTGACTTGTGTCCTTGAGTCTGCTCCTGGAGAGATGCTCAGAAAGGCTCCTCCCCTCGTCCTGCCTCCCTCCCCGTGGCCCTGGGCAGTGCTGCCTCCCACTCATGGAGTGACGGAGCAGACTTTGGGTTGGCTCTGGGTTTGGGGTGGCGGTATCCCCTGGGGGTCCGGCTCTTCTACCCCTCTGTGAAGTGACAGATTCCCCTGTGTTTGTTTTTCAGTGCAAATGGTCCAGGAAAGGCTTCCTTCGGACGAGGTGGTGCATCTCTGACTGGTATGTGGCAGCAGGTTCCAGGAGGTAGCGGGGTGTGACCCCATATACAGTTTTAGGGTTGGCCTTTTTAACCAGTGGCAGCCTGCCTTTCTGTTAGCGCAGAGGAGACGCTCCCTGAAAGGTGATCTCGGTTTGTGAGCAGTGAGGAGAAAGTCCTCTATGCCTCTGGCCTCACCACAGAAGGACGGCCTTGCCTGGCCTTTCCCCTCGGTCCCGAAGCCCCCCAGAAACGGGCTCCTGCCCCCTCCACGTTGGACGGCGGGTGGTCCGGCTTTTCTTTCCTGTGCTTACAGCCCTGGGCTGGACTCTTTCCTGAGAGATGTCCTTCCCTGACCCCTCCCTGCTCTGAAGGGCCCCATGAGAGGCCCCGCTTAGAAAGCTCAGTGGACGCCCTCCCACTCAGCCGGCCAGCAGGACTGGATGGAACAGGCCTCACTTTGGGTTGTGTTTCAGTTGCGTACACAGGCAGGTCTGACTGATCCACCCCCCAGCCTGTGAAGGGATGGAAATTGTGTCCACGGGGGATTCCCAAGCCAGCCCCTGACCCCTGGGTGCACGCTGCCTCAGGCCCAGGGATTGACTAGAGGCCATGGCCTGTGGCCTCCCCGGGGCCCCTGACGGTCAGGAGGGAATGATGGTGGCTCTCGTTGGCCATCCTCTGAGCTCTCTGCCTAGGGCAGGCTCTGGCTCCCCAGTGCCCATCACTCAGGAGAGGCGGCTGGGAGGCGGGAAGAACCCTGGCTGTCTTGGACTCAGTTTCCTAGGCTGTAAAATGTGGGCCTGAGTACCCGACTGCCAGGGTTGTTGTGAGGAGCAGAAAAGGGAACGTGTGACTTCTACCTCCACTCTAGAAAGGCGAGTTCTCATTGGTGCCAATGCAGAAACTCCTGGGGCTGGCACTCGTGGCCTCGCCCAGGCTCCCTCCCCTTCATCTCTCATTCCTGTGCTTGTACGTCCTGGCTACACAAGATGGCTCTGGGATCCTCACTTCTTCCTGCCCTCTCCAGCCTTCTGGGAGGAGGAAGACCAAGGTCACATCCCGCTTCACCTGAATAGCCATGTGCCCTGCGCCAAGCTGGTGCCTCCCAGCCTTGGTTCTTACGTTGGTAAGGTGGGGAGCAGCAGCACCCACCACACAGGGTCCTGGGAGGAGCAGAGGAGACAGTGTGGCAGGGGCCTCACAGACTTCCAAGCACAGAGGCCCGGGGCTGCAATGGGGCCCTGTCGCCCCATGCCGGAAGCCCCTTCTCACCACTTCTAGCTGTGTGGCTTTGGCTGGTCCCTTAACCCAGGCCTCGGTTTCCTGTCTGTAAGATGCAGAGGTTGGCCTAGAGGGCCTTCAGGCTGTGCCTCAGGGATCCTATGAGTCTGTCCCTCCTTTACCCCCAGGGTCTAGTCTCAGGGCATGTTGGACCAGACGGCCCCTAGCCTTGAGCTGGTGGCCTGCCTGAGTGTGACAAAATCACTTGTGGCTAAAAGGTGGCCCCCAGGCTCTCTGGGAGGCCACGAAGGGGCAGGAGAGGTGTGTGGGATGGCCCCGTGCTGGGGCAGTCCCAGAGTCTCCTGGGCCCCGTTGGAGCCCTGCCGGCACAGGCTAGGGACCCATCAGGTGAGGGCCGAGGCCAGGCTCTGGGCCACTCAGGGCACACTCACCTGGTGTCTTCTCTCCCTCGTGCTGCAGCTCCTTCGACCTGGTGAACATTCACCTTTTCCACGATGCTTCCAATCTAATTGCCTGGGAAACAAGCCCGTCAGTTTATTCCGGAATTCGGCACAAGGCCCTCGGTTACGTGCTTGACCGGTAGGTGTTGTCAGCTCCAGACCCTCCTCACCGCGCCAATCCCTCCAGAGGGATCTGCTTGAGCCAGCAGCCAGCTCACTCCTCATTTGGGACAGTGCAAGTGGGAGATGGGCTGGCAGCTGTGGGCAGGGTGGGCATCAGACTTTGCTCCCCGGCTCCTCCCTGACCCCCGGGCATCATCACCCCCATCGGGGCGCCCGGCCACCACGGCTGACGGACCCAGAAATGCAGTGGCCACCCAGACCTGCCTGTCCAGACTCTCTCTGGGAGTGCCTCCACTGGTGCTGTGTCCTCCCACAGCCATGGGGGTGACAGCAGGGATCGGGGAGCACTTTGGGCATGGATGTGGGCTCTGGTCCATGAGTTCTGGCCTCACCTCCCTCTAGGCCTCAGTCTCCTCCTCTGCACAGTGGTGATGATGGTGCACCTCTCTGTTACCCCCTCCCTCAGCCTCCTCTGGCCTCCCTGTGCCCCGGAAGCCCTGCCACCCTCTCTCTGTGCCCAGGAGGCCCTGCCACCCTCTCCCTGTGCGTAGAAGGCCCTACTGTCCCCTTTCTGTGCCCCAGAGGCCCTGAAGCCCCCTCTGGCCCCTCTCTGTGCTCCAGACACCCTGCTGTCCCTTCTGTCACCTTCCTCCAGCCCCCTCCTATGCCTAGAAGGCCCTGCTGTCCCCTGTCTGAGCCCAGGAGGCCCTGCCACCCTCTCTCTGTGCCTAGGAGACTCTGCCACCCCCTCCCCAGCACCTGCTGGCCCCTCCCTGTGTCCAGGAGGCCCTAAAGCCCCCTCCCCCAGCTTCCTCTGGCCCCTCCCTGTGCCCAGGAGGCCCTGCTGCCCCTTACCCCAGTTTCTTTGGGTTGAAGCTGTCCTGGGGGCAAATTCTCCCCTCCTGGGCATAGTGTATGTCCTATGGTACCCTGCACCATCGTTCCGGACCCCCATATAGCAGCCAGGAGCCTCTGAGGGGATGGGTTCACCGGACACAAGGGAATACTGGGGAGAGGCAGGCCCTTCCCTCGGAGCTGAGCCATCCTAGAAAGTGAAGCCCCTTTCCCTCTGGTCTCCCTGCTTCTCCCACCATGAGGGGTGAAAGGGGGCATGTGAACTCTGCCCCCCCCTCCCCAGTGACCAGAGTTTGGAAATCACCGTGATCAGATCAGGAGCAGAGGCTTTTGGGCGCTAGGCATGTGTCCAGGGCACAGGCCTCTCCCCTCACCCTGATCTTGCATCCCCCAGGCAGGGCTCCCTGTTGGCCCAGCTTGGCGGGAGGTGTAGGCCCCTGGAACGCCCTGCCGCAGCCAGCCGGCCTCCCACGTCTTTCCTGACCCCACGTCCCATGTGCCTGGGTCCCGGCTGTTCCCTTCCCTGCTCTGGAGCCAAACCCCCACGAACCTCCCTACCACCATGCAACTTGTCTGTCTCGCCTCGGCTCTCAGCGCCTTTGGCTGTCCCACTGGACATTATGGGTGTGCTGTCCCCCACTTTCTTGTCTGCCCCTGGAGTTCAGATGAATAAATGAATTCTCTCCTGTGTGCCCAGCTCGGGGTTCAGAGCTGGGGCTAGTGAGGAAAGATTAAAATGTGCCTGCCCTCAGCAGCTCCTTGGCTACTGGGGGCATAGGAGAGGTGGCAGAGAGGGCTGACGCCTAGGGAGGGGGAAAGGTATTGGCCCTGCACTGAGCCTCCGGGAGGCTAAAGAGTCTGAGGGGCAGGGGGGCACTCCTGAGGGGGAACGGGGGCATTCTTGGGGGGGAGGGGGACATTCCTAGGGGAGAGGAGAGGGGGGCATTCCTGGTATGGGAGGGAGGAGGGCATTCCTGGTGTAGGAGGGAGGGGGCATTTGGGGGGGGGTTCCTAATGGGTGTGGGGGAGGGGAGCCTAGGATGGATGGGATGTGCAGAGGGTTAGGGTCATGATAGGGAATCCATCAGCAACGTGTCCCTCTCTACCCCCCCCCAGCCCTGGGGCAAACCAGACTCTTGTAGGAGCTGCTGGGGGGTCTGCCTGCCTGGAGGCACAGGCTGCGGTGTCCCCCCCACTCAGTAACCTCCCATGGCTCCCTATGACCTCAAGGAACAAATACAGAACGCTCAGTGTGGGGCTCCCCCCCACCTTCCCAGGGGCCCGGGGCCTGTGAGCTGGCCCTGGGCCCTCCCCTCCCCCCGGCTGCCTTCTTTCTGGAGGTCTCTGTTCACACCCACCCCCACCCCCAGGGACAGCCTCTGGTGTTGATTCGGTGTATGGTGATTAATGCACAGATTGTCCTCCCAGAAGGGAGGCTCCTCCAGGGCAGGGACTTTGCACTCCTCGCCCCCAGTGCTGTGCCTACACACAGTAGGCACTTGGCAAATGCCTGTGGTTTGACCGATCGATTGCTTGCTAGGTTGATTGGCTCCCAGTTGGCGCAGACTTTAAATAGCCTCTCTCCCGCTTGTGCTGGGCACCTCTGTAGGTCGTCAGCCCTTGGGCTCCGATATTCCGCCCTCTTCCTATTCCAGCTGGGCTCCACACCTGTGGTTCTGCCTTCTTTGTCACCTTCCAAAGATCCCGAGTGCTGGTGATGGTGCATTGCCCCCGTGGGCCTCCTGCTCCCTGAATGCAGGTGATGGCGCGGTTCCCCCTCGGGCCTCCTGCGTCTTCCTTTGGGCCTGAGGGGGAAGCATCTGTGAGCTCTGAGGAGGGCTGGATGGGAGACCCCCCACGATGTCCCAGAGAGTGCAGCCCAGGGGCCAGGCCTGCTCGCGATGGGGCCACTCGTCATTAAAATGTGACCCCCACCAATAGCAGCGCAGGCTTTCAGGGGTGCGAGCGGTGCCGGGGCTTTGCATTCTGTGAATTGGCCTTTTGAGAGCTCAGCCAGCCGGAGCCGGGACCTCCGGAGCACAGCGCAGGCTGGCGGCACAAAGGGGGCGTCGGAGGCCCGGGGAATAATGGGCAGCCCCTTTCAGCAGCCACCGGCGGGGTCTTTTCTGCTCCGCTGAGGGGGGAGGACAATGCTGAGGAGCCCGCTTTGACGGAGCACCGCCACCAACAGTGTCCCCATTCAGAGACCGTGGGCCATTGTGCAAATGGCAGGGGCCAGCCAGGCAGCTTCCCCCGGCGCTCTGGCCCTCAGCGGCTGCCCCCTCAAAGGCCCGGGTGCCCCTCTGCTGCAGCGAGCTCCCGCGCCTCCCTCCACGCAGAGGCTATGGTCCCCACCCCTGCCCTGGCTGGCCACGGTTGGGGGCCACCCCTCTGACATCCTCACGGAGAGGGAGAAGCGGGGGCAGAGCATCCTGTGTGGTCAGCCCGGGGGATGGCCCACTGCCCCTCCCCGAGCTTGGGCAGCAGCCAGGACCGGGTGGGCCCTAGCTGACTGCAGAGGAGTGTGGGGTGAGGGCAGCTAAGTGAATGGTGGGGTGCAGAAATCTCTCCCTCTCCCCGACACACACACTCACACTCACTCATACTTGTGCTCGACCACATACAGACTCATACATATACACACACTCATGCTCACCCACACATGTATACACACTCACACTTATGCTCAACCACACTCACCCATACACACATACACACTCATTTCCCCATGCATAGTCACCCACACACATATATACAGACTCATACAAACACATACACTTACCCGTAGACACACTTACATACACATTCACCCCCCATACACACATACTCACGCACACTTGTGCTCACACACATATGCATAATCATACATGCACATACCCACACACTTATACTCACCCCTGTGCTCACACTCACTGGCACACATGTACATACTCATACATACACATACACTCCCACACACACGTATACACGTACATACTCACACACATACATATACACATACTCACACTCACCGAAACTCAAACCTATGCACGCTCACCCATATACATATCTAAGTGTATAAGCGTGCATACACACACACACACACACACACACACACACACACACCCCTAGGGGTTAAAGGCCCAGATGATTGCTTGGTGAAAGCAGATTTGGGCAGGATCACTTGATGCCTTTCCAGGGATGCCCTGGACAACCCACAGAACTCCAAGCCTCAGATGTTCACGTGTGGCCATCTTGGCTCCAGGGAAGAGGGCCCCCCTGCCCTGTGTGACCCCTTCCCCTCGCTAAGGGAAGGGGGCTCCGGAGGGGACCAGGGAGCCTCTGGCTGACGTGCCCGATGAGCCTTTAACACTGGCCAGACGAGCAGGATGGGCGGCCCCTGTGGGCCGTGGGGAAACTTCCTGGAGCCCTCCACAGCATTCAGGTCCGTGAAATGGGATGTTTTTTCACCAGTGACAGAGCTCTTCTGTTCCCCTTTGGAAATGGGGCTGGGCCTTGTTCAGCAGAAATGTTTCCCCATTTCGAGTGTGAAATCCCGGCGTGAAGCTGCCTTTGTGGTCGTCATCATTTTCTCACAAATGTAGTCCATTGTCAGCTCGCCGGAGTTAATTTGATCAACATTGGAGCATTTAACTTTTGTGCCCGCTCAAAGGAGCTGTTTCATGCCCATTTGGGGCATTCAAAAGAGATGATTACCAGAAAAATAATGTGCCCGCACACAATTGGGAGCAATTAGTTTCCCAGGGAGCGGCGAGTGATGCACGGCCTCCACATAGCTCGCCTTTGTCACTCTGTGGACGGTCATCAGTCAACTGTCACCTCGGCTCAAAGACCCCTCCAATCTCAATGTTTCTCTTGAGGCTTTTCCCAGAACGGGCAGATGAATGAGCCAAAGAAAAGCCACTTGGTCTCTAGGCAAAGGAAAACTCTCCTCGAAAGATGTGGGTCATTTCAGAAGCCCCCAGGAGTCACTGCAGCATCCTGGCTGCATCACCCGGAATGTGTGTGTGTGTGTGTGTGTGTGTGTGTGTGTGTGTGTGCGCGCGCGCGCAAGTGAGTGAATGTGAGGGGGGGGAGTATTGTGGCATAGGGCTGGGGGTGGCTGCTCTGGGCACCCTTTCAGCTCTAAGAACTTCAGGTCTTTGAGGTCTTAATTCAGCC